AACACAGTATTTGATGCCAAGCGATTGATTGGCCGCAAGTTTGCTGATCCAATCGTCCAGGCTGACATCAAGCTGTGGCCCTTCAAATGTGTTGCAGGTCAGGGCGACAAGCCCATGATTGCTGTCAATGCTCAGGGTGAGGAGAAGAAATTCCATCCTGAAGAGATCTCCTCGATGGTTTTGCTCAAGATGAAGGAGACGGCAGAGGCTTACCTGGGCACCAAGATCAATGATGCAGTGGTGACCGTGCCCGCATACTTCAACGACTCTCAGCGTCAGGCAACAAAAGATGCAGGCACCATTTCAGGAATGAATGTTCTGCGTATCATCAACGAGCCTACTGCTGCAGCCATTGCCTATGGCCTTGACAAGAAGGGCACAGGTGAGGTGTCCAAAGTGCAAAGCACATAAAAAGCTTTGAAGCTAAGAGCAGAGCATTGGCCTTGCTTTTCTTGGCCTGGAGGGGAATTTGGCAATTTGCCGAAGTTTATATATAGTATACAGTATACAGTAGTACCTTTTTAAAAATAGGGTCAGTACTTTTAAAGGGGTGAACAATTTGTCGCTGATTGAACACGCTTTGAGAATGTTGAGGTGAGCGCAATGTTCTCATTTATGACATGGGTGGCGGAACTTTCGACGTGTCCCTTCTCACAATTGAGGATGGAATTTTCGAGGTTAAGGCCACTGCTGGAGACACCCACCTTGGCGGCGAGGACAGAATGCATCCTTACTGTCTCCCCTTCACATCTCGATTTCTTGACTGGCTTCTAGCTGTGTTCAGAATAGTGTCCGAGTGGTTGGGGGTATTCAACCGTCAGGTTTGTGCAAGCGTTGATATTCTGCCTTGTTCTAAATACCTTTTATGTTACCGACATCAGTCTGTGCACTTCCCAGGACTTCGACAACCGAGGCTTACTTCAAGAGATAAACTTTTTCTAATTCTTCTGTGGTAGTTGAAAGCAATAAGGGAATCCAGTTTGAGGCGTGGCATGCACTGACCAAGGAGTCGTGGATTTTTGTATCCAGGACTTCAAGAGGAAGAATCGCAACAAGGACATGACTGGCAACCAGCGTGCCATCAGGCGCTTGCGAACACAGTGTGAGCGTGCCAAGCGCACCCTGTCCTCTTCTACTCAGGCAACTATTGAAATTGATTCCTTGTTCGAGGGAATTGACTACTCCTGCAGTTTGTCTCGGGCACGCTTCGAGGAGCTTTGCATGGACTATTTCCGCAACTCCGTGGGCCCAGTGGAGAAGTGCCTGAAGGATTCTGGAATCGACAAGAAGAGTGTACATGATGTGGTGCTCGTGGGCGGCTCCACTCGTATCCCAAAGGTGCAGTCTATGATCCAGGAATTCTTCAATGGCAAGGAGCCAAACAAGTCCATCAACCCAGACGAGGCGGTAGCGTACGGTGCTGCTGTGCAGGCTGCAATTCTCACTGGCGAGGGATCCTCCGCAGTCCAGGATCTTTTGCTCTTGGACGTGACTCCATTGTCCATGGGCTTGGAGACTGCAGGTGGTGTGATGACAAAGCTCATTGAGAGAAATACCACAATCCCAACCAAGACGCTGACCTGCCATTGAAGAACTTTTGACTTTGTCAGATAAACCGTGGATTTAAACTTAAACACTTGTTAGACCAACCCTATTAATTGTTTTGACCAATCAGCTCATCACATCAGGAAAGCGCAGACTTTCACGACGTACGCGGACAATCAGCCAGGCGTTTTGATTCAGGTCTTTGAGGGTGAGCGAGCCATGACCAAGGACAACAACTTGCTAGGCAAGTTCCATTTGGATGGAATTCCTCCGGCTCCTCGTGGTGTGCCCCAGATTGAGGTCACCTATGACATTGATGCAAATGGCATCTTGAATGTCAGCGCCTCCGACAAGTCAACTGGCAAGTCCAATCAGATCACAATTACAAACGAGAAAGGGCGACTGTCGCAATCCGAAATTGACCGCATGGTTCAGGAGGCTGAGAAGTTCCGTGCCGAGGACGAGCAGAACAAGTTGCAACTTGGTCTGCACAAATGAACTTGATTGAAGCTTTCTTGGTGCCTATAGAAGGCGTATAGAAGGCTGTTTGAGTACCCTCTTGGTCAGTGATACTGCCGAGGAAGATCGAGGCCAAGAATGGCCTGGAGAACTACTGCTTCACCATGCGCAACACGCTCAATGAGGAAAAGCTCAAGGAGAAGTTTCAGATAGTTTCAGGGCCCGTAAAGTTAAAGCCAGTGTCAGTATTTGATATGGGAAGCTGGTTTTGTTCTCCCTTTGTTGCCCTGTTGCCCAGCAAGTAATGCCTTTCTCCCTTGACATTTGACATGTGAAGTTGTAGTAGTTAAGCTTGTTATCCCAGCAAACAAGTTCTTTGCACTCAAGAAAACTTTGGCTCGAGCACAGCTCATGAGCTTCCAGCTGGCCCTGGACTTCCTTCGTGAAGCCCGGTGGTTCTTGCCGGCGAGCCCGGCTTGTGGAGGATTGAGCTGGCCTCTCGCCTTCTTGTTGTGCATCCTGGCCTTTTCGCTCGGTTGCTGTTGTGGGGGTTTGACTGCTGTCCTGGCCCTTTCAGCACGCCTGCGCAAAGCCCTGCTGTGGCTGATCACTGGAGTGGCAACTTCGGCGCTCCAAGCTGAACACGCTGCCTCCGCCGAAGTGGTTCTGGCCCAATACCGAGGTGATAGTATATGAGCCTAGACGCCGAGGTGGAAGAGCTCGCCTTAGAAGTTGGACAGCTTCGCATCAGAGTGTCTCGGCGGGAAGCTTACGGGACTTCGCCATTGCGTGTGAGTGCAGTCTCTACCACTTCCTCACCTTCTCAGCTCCCCAGCTCGGGTGCCCTTGCAGGCCCTCGGGCCACCGAGCCAGAGGCTCAAGAGGATCTGACCAGTCTTCGATCGTGGTCAGAGGTTGGTCGAGCTCAGCGAGCTCCATCGCCTGTTGGACCTTGGACTCAGGATTGGTTCGAAGCTCTGGCTGCTGCTGACTCACCGTCAGCCCTGAAGGAGTTGGATCTATCCCCCATCTCGCACTTGATTTCTCGGCTGAGGACTACAAGCGCTGGGTCGGACCCTGAAGCTCGCCTGGCCCGTGCCTTGAGAGCAGGCATCTTAGCCAGGCACTGGCTGGACAACCGGCCATTGGCGTCTGCCAATATTGGGGGACCTACGCTGCCTTCAAAGTTCTTCATTGTGCTCAAGGCTGGACCGGGCCTCTCTCCTGGTTGGACAGGGGACTACACTACCTATCTGGCGCAGGTGATACTTCTGTTTCGACGGCCTGCTTTTTCAGTTTTGGACAAGGTTTACCAGGAGGGTGTACAGTTCCATGCAGACCTCGTCTTCCACATGTCAAAGCAGTGCAGAGCGGAGTTGATGAGTTTATGTTTGATTGCCCCTACTTTACAAACCGACATGCGAGCAACCACAGCGCCCGAGCTCTACATGCTGGATGCTTCCCCCTTTGGTGGGGGAATCTGCCGTGCAGCAATGCCTTCCTCCGTTGTTGAAGAGTTTTGGAGGCACTCCGAACAAAGGGGATACTACACGAAACTGCAACAGGGAGCTGGGTTAGCTTTGAGAGAGATCGGGCTGGAGCGCTGTGAGTTCTTTGGTGAACCTGAAGTTCGACCTTTTGATCAGGATATCATTTTCACATCAGAACTTGCACCTCCGTTGCATGATAGCACGATCGCCTATGATTGCATCGAATTGTTTGCAGGTGTTGGGAACATGGAGCAAGTCACACGCTCGCAAGGGCTTGAAAGTTCATCCAGGCATTGAACGGACAGCCGTTGGGCGAGGTTACGGGGACTTGTTTGACAATCAGACCTTCAGAGACCTCGCCCATCTAGCGCATACAGGTTCTGTTAAAGAGTGGCATGCGGCTCCTCCGTGTTGGTCGTTTGGAACTTTGAGACGCCCCAGGCTAAGATCTAAAACGTGTCCTGCAGGCTTCAACCCCGAGGATAAAGGCACAAGGGAGCAAACTTTGTTGGCTGTTAGGACCGCTTTCATTTTGTTCTTGGCTTTCAACAGCGGGAGCTACATTTCATGCGAGCAGCCTGGAGGATCAGTGATGTTTCAGCTGCAGATTTTCAGAGACTTCTCGCGGCCGGTTGCGTCATTACCAAGTTCTGCTTTTGCACGTACGGCTCCGGTTTTCAGAAGGCTAGTAAGTGGTTGCGCAACAAACCCTGGTACTCTGAACTCTGAGCTAGGTGGTGTGTGCAGTTGTCCGTACAAGGGGCGTCATTTCACAGTTCAAGGCACATTTACGAAAGAGAGCATTGATCTGTTTGAATCTAGGTGTCGTCCCTCATCGGTGGCAGTCTATGGTAGGACCCCACGGCCTGGTGAAGCTGTTCGCTCGTACTCAGCGAGCTATCCCATTCCCCTGTGCGAGGCAATGAGTGCGGGCAGCCTCAAGGCCCGCCAGCTGAGTTCAGACAGGAATGCAGCAGCTCTCAAGGAGAAGTTGTTCGAGGCGGACTCGGGCTTCGACCGAGAAGGTTTGCGCGCCTGGCACGATGCCGCTGAGTGGGTCGAAGATGTTTGCGAGAGTGTTTCTTTTAGAGAACTGTTTCGCTACCGGTTCAAGAAATCCAGCCACATCAACTGCTTGGAATGTCGCGTTTACAAATCATGGTTGAAGCATGCGTCAAAGAGCCACCCACGTTGTTGAGTGTTGGGTTTACTTGGCTCAAGGGTCACAATGGGAGCAGCTGCGAAAGGTCGCAGCAGCAGTCCAGCCCTGAGCAGGATACTCAGGATAACCTTGAGCTACGTGTTAGGCGGTTGTTTGTACCCTGGAACATTGCACTGTCGTTCTCAGTGGAATCGAGCCGACGGCCCTTCACGCGACCGTGATGTTCCGGGACCTTCGCGGCCTGAACCTTTCTGGTTGCAGGAGTTGCGTGTTGGTTGAACAGGCGCTTTTGATGTGATGATCACCTCAACAACATGGATCCGACCGCTCGGTCGTTGGTACCGTCTGTTGTTGCTCCTTGCTGGAGATGTTGAGCAAAACCCCGGGCCCCAGTGTGCGCACAGTCGAGCGCCTCGGGGCGATCTCAACCTTATAGGCGGGTTTGCGCAGGCGACCTCTGACAGAATGGCCAAATGCTTGAAGGCCTTTGGTTTGTGGTGTGAGACCCACGCAGGCTTGACACTTGAACAGGTTGTTGAGAATGTTGAGATCACCAATCTAGCCCTAAAGGCCTGTGGTCTTGCGTTGTTCAAGCGAGGGTCACCTCGCTACATGTTGGTGTATGCAATCACCGCGGAGCTTGGCAGGTTGACAAGAAATGACAATTGGAAGAGCCCGGCTCTTGTCGAGCCGTGCTTTCAGCTCCGGTCTTCCGCGCTATTCTTGGCCTTGTCTTGCTTTGGGGGTGGCCCGCCTTCGCTGGCATTGTTGCACTTGGCTTCGGAGGAATGTTACATCCGAACGAGTTCATCTGCCTCCGTCGTCGAGACATTGTCTTTCCAGAAGATACGTTGATGGAGCAACGAACGTTGTACATCTTCATTCGGAACCCTAAGACTGCTCAGTTCGCTAGAAAGCAACATGTGCGTATTGACGACAGTTGCATACAGTTTTTGGCTGCGTGTGTCTTTAAGCACTTGGAACTTGAGTCTCAGCTTTTCGATGCGTCGATTGCAGCGTTTCGAAGGCAATGGAATGCCATTCTGGATAGACTTGACGTGCCTCGCAGGCAAGTCGAGGGAGGAGCCACTCCACTATTTAGGAAAACAGGAGGAAATGGTACTCGACACACTTGTGTGTCGGTGCCTTTCCTTCTGTTTTCCTCTAGACTACTCTACAGGTTTGCAGGTAGGCCTCCCAACTTTGTAAGGGGTTCTCTAACCTGAACTTTGGCCTCCACCGACCAGATTGGCCCCCAACCTTGCTGTCTTGTGCTTCATGTGCTTTTGTGCTTCTTGTAACCTTGTAGCACTGGCCTCCAACTTGGTACCCTGGCCTCCACCCACTAGTGGGGACCTCCAACTTTGGCTGTCTTGGTTTTTTTCTTGTGGTTTTGTAGCGAGGACCTCCAACCTTGGCTGTCTTGTGTTTTTCTTGTGTTTTTTTAACCTGGTAGCGCTGGCCTCCAACTTGGTACCCTGGCCTCCAACCTACTAGCGATGACCTCCAACTGTGCTTCTGGCTGTCACTTTGTGTCTATGGTCCACCGCCTACTAGCGATGGCCTCCAACCTTAGGTCTTGGCCCTCAACAGCCCTGCGTTGACCTCCAACCCAAAACCGATGGCCTTTAACCTACTATTTCCTGACATCTCAGGCCTTCTAAATAACTTAGGCTGGCGTGTGGCACCGCTGTCAAGTCAGTACGCATATCCATAAGTGTGTCTCTCCCAGTGAGAGTCCGGGACGAGCCCGTAGAGTGCCTCCCGCGGACCCGTCGAACGGGTGTCTATCTCCCCTGCCTGGAGATGTACGTGTCCGGAGCGGACAGCAGATGGCTCATGCCACAAGAACTTAGACGTTTGTCCCATTTTTGGAATTCCAAGTTGGCTCATGCCTTTACGTGACCGCAGCGGTCTAAGCTGGCTTAATGCCTCAACGTGGTCAGAGCGACCGAAGTACTTTTGAGGTTCGTTGGAACCTGTCGAGCTCTTAGCCCCTCCTCCCCCTTCCCTCCCCCTTTCTTTCTTTGCTTTCTGGGGTTTTCCTGAATGGAATACTCAGGATCTCCCCTGTCCTTCTTTGGTGTGTCCCTCAACAAATGTTCGTAGCTGGGAACACCTTCCTTTCTCTCCTCTCCGTTTCTCTCCCTCTCTCTTTCTTTCCTTCTCTCTCTCTCTCTCCTCTCTTCACCTTCTTCCTTGGGTGTCCCTGGATGCTTTCGTCATAGCTGGGAGCCCTTCCTTTTTGGTGTGTCCTTGGACGCTTGTGTCGTAGTCTGTTTCCTTCTTTCTTTCCCTCTCTTTTCTTCCTCCCCCTCCCCCTCTTTCCTCGCGCGCGGCGTGTTTGCAAGCAAACTAGGCTGCTGCAACAGGTTTTTCTAATGAGGATTGGGCTGTCATCGGTTTGTCCCCGCTCATTTGGTTCTCCTTTCATCGGCCCCCGCAGACGTTTTTTTCGTTCTTTTCTTTCATGTCTTTCTGTCTTCATGTCTCTTCATCCCCATCCTTTCTTTCTCTTGCGCGTACTATTGGCCGGACCTTAGTTTGCACCCATACACGCATGCGTACTCTACTTACAACGAGGTTCAGGTGGCCCAGGTTCGTTACGGGTTGTCCCTCTTCACTTGGTTTTTCTTCATCGGCAACCACGTACACCTTTGTCTGTCTCGTCCTTTTCATTTTCATCTGTCCCTTTTGCGTGCGCATGTGCCTTGCCTCCTTTCCGGGCAGGATGGAGGCCACACATGCCTCCCTTCGGGGAGGCGTGTGTGTGTAACCCTTGGAATCAAAGCAAACCTTTAGGTTTGGAACAGGGGCGTACGGCTCGTCATACCCACCGTACGC